GTTGTGATGAACTCATAAACTGTTGAACTAAATCGATGGCCCGATACGCTACTTCTGCGCAAAATGCTGTAAATGACAGATAGGAAGGAAGGACCTGGTGGTTTGAAGGTAAGTTTCCAAGTGAATGTATTCTGCTTTTAGCTATGTAATTATGCGAATGGTTGGGAGTTTCGTAACTTCTCCTGGTTTACTTAGGTGAAGACATAACTTGTTTCCAGCAGTTTGCAATCCTGCTCATGCTCTGAAAAAACGCCGTCGAACATCTCGCACGTATCTCACAGCGTCGTGATCTATTGTCTCCTTGAACCACCAATCATGCAGCAGTCCATTACAATCGTGTTTGTACCGCTTCGGTACAGTAGCCATCACATTGCCGTTAACGATGTACACTCTTTGGCAGTCAGTAACCGCTTTTCATCCTGCGAGCGCCTGTGCTTTTCCGTGATCGAAGTCGTTCCTATTGGCTATTTCAATATAGATCTTCGTCTTTAAACTTGACAATAAATCACTTGGTAGGTCCACTTTCTTCCACCGAGGTTGCACACGATGACGTGACAATAACGACATAATCTGGATACATTTTTGCAATAAGTAGACAGCACCCGGACTTCCCCGGTGGTCAGCCACCCGAGTACCACCCGATCAATGACATAATCTGGAACGGCAGCAAGTCTCGACGTTTGCTCCGGTGGTGACTTTAAGCACATTTTATTGAATAGAATAAAGAGTTCACCTCTTTATTACATTATCTAAGAATTGGCATACATTTCAAACTCTATTCGTCTGCAAAATACCATCTAAAATTTTGCTTTACGTTTCAGACTAAGTTCCTTTTTCGCGAACTTGCGATCTTCCTTGGAAAGCTTAAGTGGAGCAATGGCTGTGCCTGCGTGCTTCATAATCTTCGGAGCTGTCAGCACATTTGTCACCTGAGAAGTGTTCCAATCGCTGCCCAGAGGATTGCGCATCGCCGCCTCATACTCTTGCCGTGACGTAAAAGGATATGGCACATCCTTTAACATAAACTTGGCAGCTTTCTTGTCCTTCCTCTCATTAATCAACACGTGTTTCAAACGCGCATCTTTTCGTCCAGCCAACGCTTTCTCTTTAGCCTCTCGAGCAATATTTTTAGCCTTCTGTTCCCGTGCAATCTGATTCTTTGACACGGAGACACCGTCACCTGCCCAGCTACCCCATCCAGACATACCAACTAACTTAGCAATCTCAGCCCCTTTTTTAGCATTGGCATCCTGACCAGCCAGCCGATCCTTTTCTTGAGCAAGCTCATCTTCAGTATCAGCCACAAACTCGAACGCTCGACGGACAAGTTCGTCCTGTGTAGCGTCTTTCTTGTCAGTATTTTTTTTCTTTGGAGCTGGAGCCTCCGTCTTAATCTTGATCGGGTCAAGTTTACGCTTCTTACCGTTCTTTATACTTGTAGTCGGTGAACAGTCTTTGCTTTTGTTCATGGTATCCTTTGCAAGAGACTCAATCGCTGCGGCAACATCCACCTGTCTATCCTTGTTCGCTTGTACTGTCATCATATTCTTCTTGCTACGTTTTCTCTTTGAAGTGATACCGGAAAGCCACGGGTTCTCTTTACCTTCTGTTGCAAACTCCGTGTCAATATCTTCACTGTCGGTCTTTGCCTGAACTTCGACAGTCACCGAGGTCTTAGCTTTCACAGCTTTAGCCCCGAGTTCAAGTGAGTTGCCCTCTTTTTTACCTCCGTCAGCGACTACAACATTATTACTACCCTCGCCAAGATTAATCGCAATTGCTCCTGAAGCACGAGCTGAAACGCCAGTAGTCATACTGACATTCTTTGTTTGATAAGCACCGCCAGCCAATGCGTTTGCGACTGCAGCTTTGTCCTGTTCTGTAACAACAACCTTCTTTGGTGCCACTTTGATCTTCTTGTTCATTTTGACAACATTGCCTTCTTCCCCAGAACTTTCATAGTCTTTACCCTCTGACAAGACGCAGTCTTCTTCAACGCCATCAATTGTGCGAATCTCACGAAGTAACTTCTCTGCTTCATTTCGTGCCTTCTCTCGCTGCTTTTCAGCTGCGCGCTGCATAAATTTCATTGCCTGTAGACCACGCTTTTTGCTGGCCTCGACTGAATCTTCATCGATTTCTGTAACTAAAGCAGTGGCTTGTTTTTCCAATCGTTTTTGTAAACGCGTCGCCGCGTCGCCCTCCTCATCGTCTTCATCATCAAAATCATCGTCGTCACTGTCTATTGCGTCCATCTTACGACGTAACTCTTCACCACGACGCAGTTGATCAGCAATCGCACTACGCGTAGCATCATCAGCTTGAATCCCACGACTCAGTTGGTGCTTCACCCATTTACTTGTATTGCGATGCTTGAGCGTCAGTCGTTCTTCCGCTCGCTTCGCTGCAAGCTCTTCGTCAAGCTTTCGAGCCAATTCAGGGTCCAATGCTCGTAGTTCCTCTTTCTGTCTCGCCATCGCTTTCTTGTCTTGCGCAATGCGAATCTTGTGGTAAAGTTTACTTTTAATTTTCTTCACGCGCTTCTTCTTCTGCTCATCATAAAAAAGGAGCGATCGAAGCTTAGCAAGCTCCTTTTGTCGAGCAGCCACCTCTTGGACAGAAACGTGCTTACGCGCCAATTCCTCTTCTTCATCCTTAGCCACAGTTCTATCACTCAAGTCGCCAGCTTGCAATAAATTTGCAACACTCTTCTCCATGTCTGTCTGAGCCACGAATTTGTTTGCCAGTACAGCAGGGGTGAGCTTCTCAAGCTTTGAAGCTTGTATGCGGAAATCCAATGTCTCTTTCTTTCTGTTTTGTTGCACCACTGGCTCAAACACATCCACTTCTTTGCTTTTCTCTACATACGCGAGCTTTCGCTGTGCTCGTGCATCCTGCACTGGATTACTATGTGCTCGCAACAATAGTGTCGTGCCATCCCCTTCCAGCTCCCGAACCTGCTGTCTCATGCGTCTCATATCAAGTCCAGTTTGAGTTTTTTCATCCACTTCTTCTTCAGCATTTACTCCACCAGAATTAAGAGGCTCCGCTCCCAAAAGCGCTCCTAATGTCAGCTCTCCCTCTGTCGTTATATTCGCAAATTGCGCGTCAATCTCTTCCAACTTCTTCTTGCTCTTTTTTTCAACAAGACTGTCAACCATTTCACTCAGATTTTTAATTTTATCTTCATCATTATCTTCTTCACTACCAGTAGAGAGACGAGAAGCTGGCGCTGTACCCAACAGGTCCGAAAGTAAGTCTCCACCTTGTTCGTCTTCTACCTTTTCTTTAGTTGATTTTGTAAAAAACATCCCATAAGATTCTTCATCTTCACTATTAAAAGCTTCATCTTCATCGACTTCCGAGTCTCCTTGATCAAATGATGGTTCTTCGTATTCAAAAACTTCGTTCACATCAGCGCGAGCATTCATGACTTGTTCCTGATGCGTAGCTTCTTTCTCGTCATCACTGAACACATCATTAGACTTGTGGTGTTTAGTACTTTGGCGTCGGGGTTTAGCTTTGCTGGACGATGCCTTCTTGCCTTTGCGTACAGCCATGCTCGTCACTTCGTCAGTGGCTCTTAAAGCGGTTGGAGCACGAGCATGATCTACTAAGTACGAATGAATGGGGTACTTTTATACCCTACGTACCGTGCTAGTAATACTCTGAAATGTTAGATGTATAACGTATAACAATTAGTGTATTATCGAAGAAAGGAATAGTTGCAACATTTAGATCGCTTAATTGCAAGGAAAGCTCTATGCTAAGTAAAAAATATTCAAAGATTCTGCGTTCAGTATTGCACAGAAAAGCCTTCACGTACAAGCGAAACCAAAAGCAGGTAAAGAGCCAAGTGGTTAGTTTGCTCTTCTGACATTTGTTTGGATTAATATTTGGGCTAATACAAATAGTTAATACTAATTCTTGATTACAATACTATATGTATGCTTAACTTGAGGCTCACAGCCTACATGTCCGAATGAACTTTCCTTTATCATACCAAAATGTTGGTGCCTCCAGGTCTTTCATAATGCACAACAGTCTAATGTGAGTTGCATTTTGCACAATCTTACAGAAGAATAGGGTGTGCACACACAATAGTCGAATCAATACACTAAGGTAATAACATTAAAACTAATACATAACGAGGAGCATTATACAAAACAAAAGACCATCTTCTCTAAAAAAAGTTGCAAGTGACACAATGAAACGAGGTGCAAAACATAAGCAGATATTATTTGAAGCCCCTCAGCACGCTGATTTAGCGTCTCTATGTCTAGTAGCGATAAAGCTTGGCTGACCGGGTCTGCTCCAGGTCAATCTTATGACCGAAAAGGTCTCGAATATTGTTGAGACGGTATTTTATCATCGTAGGACGCTCGAGCGATAAACCCCACGCAATAACACGAACATTCTCTGGCAGACCCATCGGACGAAGCATCTCTGGGCGGAACACACCCGAGTTCCCAATCTCCGTCCACTTCTTTAAGTCTGGGTGAAAAGCGAAGATTTCCATACTGGGCTCCGTATACGGATTGTATGCTGGCTTAAAACGCATCTGCGTGATACCGATCTTCAGAAAGAAAGCTTTGATAATGCCGATCAGATCACCCAATGAGAGATCATAGTCAGCCACGACGCCTTCGACCTGATGAAACTCAGCCAAATGAGTTGCATCCATACTTTCGTTACGGAAAACACGATCGATAGAGAAATACTTTTGCGGGGTAAAGCCACCGGGTTGATTGGCAAGCTTGTACAACATCTGAGCAGAGATGGCGGTGGTGTGTGTTCTTAAAATGTTTGTCATGGACGTCTCACGCTTGAAGGCACCACGGCCGTGACTACAACAGTAATTTATATGAACTTCACATCACAAAACTTGTCAATCAGACGTAATTTCGTACCCAATAGAGCCAAATCCGCCATTTTCGTGCATGTCGTGGACGCGCTTGTAATACTCCTCTGGAACTGATCGGCAGTATTTGGGATCTGCATATTTCAATATAAAAAAAGAGATAAGTGCAAAGTCACCTGCAACCTGCTGAGGTTATACGCACAGGTAAGGAAGAACGTATCATGCGCGTCGCGAGCAGGATGAGACTGCGGCTGAAACAATGAGTCAAAATTCCAGAAACTACTCTCCACGAAGCGGTTAGTAGGCATTTCTTGAAATCTACACCGTATATGAACTGAAAGTGAGTATCGATTGATCAATTAATCACTTGCTTTAACTTACCCCATGTCCATCAGCACGCGACGAAACTCAGTGCGCACTTTCATAAGCGGATGCAAATGGCCACCTCCCACACTTAATCCCATGCTTTTAAAGTTGTATGGCTTGAAAGTCTCCTTCTTCCACGCATCTCTACATAACCAACGTCAGTAAAGTTACTTTCCTCCCTCACTTTTTCGCACTAACCCTTCCAGCATTTCTTTCGTGAGTCCAGCCGCCTGTTTCTTTCTCTGCAGCGCAAAATTTGCGCCCTTCGTCAGCGTATAAGATTTACGCGTACGTGTCTCTATAAGCTTACGGCGCTTTAGCGTATTGGCTTCGTCTTGGGAAATGGCCGAAATAGCGCCATCCGCTTGTTCCACCCGACGAAGCATCTCTGTAACGTTGTCATCAGCTTGTTCCGTATTGCGGTAGAACTTGCCGTCCGCCTTGTCCAGACGAATCCACTTGTTCTTCATGCACGCACCCTGACCAACCTTCAGCGTCGCGGCGCCAATTGCGGCTTCTAAAGTCTTACGATCGACTCCCTCGACCGGTATGGCACGAAATACTTGGATCTCAGGAGATCCATGGTCTAAGAATATTTTAGCTTCGTCTTTTAGCACGTAAAAAGACGTGGAACGCTCCGTGTCGGCCACGAAAGCATCCACCAGAAGCGACTTCATCACACCGACCACTAATTCGTGCGATAAATTGTTTGCTAGTGAGAAATCATACGTGTCCGCGACAGATCCTTCGTTACTGATGGTTTGTAACAGTAGCGCTTCAGCACGTGTCTTTTCATCTTCAACACTCATAGGAACTGGAAGACAAAGTCGCCTTCTTTGGTCTATCAATGGATAGCGCAGGGAAATCTTATACTAAAGCACAATTTAACCCTTTGAGTTTGTAATTGCAATTTTTAGGTGAAATTTTTTTCTCTTTCATACCTTTTGCCAGGACTTCCATCATTGACCACCATAGTGCGATAGTCATTAGAACTGAAGGTATGGAAGCGGTAGCGGCTGATACCGCGTTGATTGATGCAGCAGAACGACTGCCTTTTTGAAAAAAATTATTGTGTAGCCACCGAAGTGTCCCCATTGTGCTGCATTATCCACCGCCGCAGATGTTCATACCTCAGTACGATAGAAATTAGGTTCTCTAGCAGCTTTCGTAATGCTGTTGTGTCCATCGCAACGATTATGCAGCCTTCAGTGCAATCTCAGGTGGTGGCATTATTTATCACTGCGATCATGATGTGACCAGGTGACGATATGGTGGCGACCATGTTTAGCAGTGCCATTGATCACAATTACAACGCTACGCTTGCGTGTCAACCTAAATGACCGATACTGGTATCTTCATCTGTTATAGAATTTAAGCAGTTTTAAAGCTATGAGTGAGATACCTATCAAGGTCATAAAAATTTCAGACACGGTGGTTGAGGTGCATTAGGTCGGCGATGTTGGCGCTTATCCATCCTAAGCCTTGTAAGCTATGCAAGGCATAGAGCAAAGTTTGCTCTCGAAAAACAGCCTTGTTTATCGCATTCGTTAGATTTTCCTGCCATCTTATCGACTTTTGATAGTATTGGAATCACGTATTCGACGGTTCGCCCGATGATTTCAAGTTATCATGTCAACGGAATGCTATTTCACTTCCTCAAGTATTAAATTGTGAGGCGACGCGATCTTTTTTAAACGTCGATTAAGCATGTCCAAGGAGACTGATAGCGATTCAGAGCCGCGGCAGCTTCAATACAAGGTTCAAAGAAACTTTATGCTGAATGGGGAGACTACAAAGCTAAAACTTCTTTAGGTGATTATTTTGGGTGATGGCGCTGTGGGCAAGACATCGATTGCGATGCGGCATACGGAGGATAATTTTTTAACTACATACAAGCAAACAATTGGTTTGGACTTTTTTCTCAAGCGCATGGCGATGCCAGGTAGACAAAGCCGATCTTTTTTGGCTTTTGAAAGTCTCGTTCGACTGACACCCACCACACAGATGACACGCAAGTGACTTTGCAGATTTGGGACATTGGTGGTCAGAGTATCGGCGGCAAGATGCTCAAAAATTATATTTATGGAGCGCAGGTACGAATTGTGCTGGTTTGAATGGGCACGAATAATGGCAATTTTTCAAAGTAGGCCGTCTTGCTGGTATACGACATCACCAATTACGAGAGTTTTCAGAATCTCGAAGATTGGTATCGACTCGTTCGTCGCACTTTTGACGACGAGCGAATGCCGTACGTTGCGCTCGTGGGCAACAAATGTACGTCAAGAATCAGATAGTTTCCATACAATACATTGATGAACAAATTTCTAGCGGATTTAAATCATCTTCGTGCCGTAAAGGATACCAAACACAAACAGTTTACAGAGGAAAATGACCTTAAGAGCTACTTGGTATCCGCAAAAACCGGCGACGAGGTGAACACGACATTTCGCCAAGTGGCAGCAGACCTAGCAGGCATTGCACTTACCAAAGCGGATTTAGAGAGGGAAGTACCTGTTCTCAAAGCTCAGATCATTAATCACGAGCAGAATGACCCGGACGTGAAAACAACAGATATTCGCAGCACCAACTCTAAATGCAGTATTCAATAGAATTGACGAGGAGATCAGACACAATTCGAAGCAGTAACAATACAAATTATCGCGCTAAGTGTCCCATTAATTAGATGGGTTACTCTGGTTTAGTACTGGAGATTACGCCGAAGTTAGGATTTAACTTAATAGTCTTCATCTCCGCCAAACATATCCATGCCTCCACCCATGTCGACTTCCTCTTCTTCTTCAACAACTTTTTCCTCTACCTTAGCAGCCTCAGCACTTGCACCAGCCGCATTACCGGCAGCCGGAGCAGCAGCAGCTGAACCGAATGACGCCAGCTTCTTACTACCAGCAGCGATCACTTCATCGACGGATTTTCCTTCCATAGCCTTGATCACAGCAGTAACGCGAGTTTTATCAACATCCACACCGGAAGCGTTCAAGATGCGCTCAACATCTTGTTCGGTGGGAGTGGTGTTACCTCCAAGAATAGAGAGTAGGTAGGCAGCAATGTAACGCATCTATTATAACAACAGTCAGTGTAACTCGTCTACATTTATAATCATATATGTGACGCACCTTGAATCAATTTAAGGTTTTCTTTCTTGGAGTCAACCAGATACAAGATGGTGCTCATTCAAAAGGCAGTAAAACGCCATGCGATTAGCACTGGACCAATCGCTATTTGTCCCTCTACAAGAACGTAATTTCTGTGTACTGACACCACTACATATTGTTTGTCGAGCATTCTCAGCCAGTGCTTTGGCGAAATTAATTTATAACCAATCATAAAGGATTCTGCAGCTGGTACATTATCACATTACCATTCTCCGAACGACTTAGCAATCAATACACGTATAGCTCTTAAACGTCATGGCTCCTATTGTAAGTTTTTATGCATGTCCTACCTGGGGCGAGTGAATGAGTTGCTAAGCTGCAGAGTCCTCCTTCTCTGCTCGGGCAAACAGAGTTTCCTTCTCTGTGGGTAGCTAACTTTCAAGTTGGCTGCCACGCATTTCATTCGGAACAAAACCTGTTAATTGACCCTAGAGTTAGAGGACTTGTTAGCCATCCGCTGATATCAGACACTCGCCACGGACAAATCATGTCCTGTGTCTAAATCTGACGTCGAGTTAATAAATTGCAGCAACAAAAAGGAAAGAAGATCAGCAAGAAGCAGTTGCTGAAGTTTACGATTGACTGCACGATCCCCGTGGACGATCATGTGCTGGACCCTGCTTCGTTTGAGAAATTCTTGCACGACCGCATTAAGATTAATGGAAAAACTGGTGTGCTTGGTGAATCCGTCAAGATCACTCGTGAGAAGACCAAACTTCAGATTGTGGCCATGCCTCCGTTTAGCAAACGCTACCTCAAGTATTTGACTAAGAAGTACCTGAAAAAGCAGCAATTGCGTGACTATCTTCACGTGATTGCGTCAGACAAGTCAACGTACGAGCTTCGCTACTTCAACATCCACGATGCTGGTAATGACGCGGATGAGGACGACGAGTAAATTCGTTCAAATGAAGTCGTTTTTAATAGTCTTGTACCAAATGTTAATTTGCTAACGTTCGGAGATCGAATATGTTTTCATCTTGTTCGTGATTGAAATTCTAAATAATGACCAGAAGCTGTATAAACGTTCCCTGCAGTTTTCATTAACGATAGATTGATGTAAAGGCACTTATAAAAGTTTCAAGACAAAGTATTTGCATATGTGGTCTTCTAAGGCAGACTTTTGGTACTGGTGGACACTACTGTTCAAAATAACATGCGCCCGAATCTTCAGAGGTTCTAATTGGTCGCTCAGTTACATTCGACGCACAAGGGCTGCGTTGATGGCCTCAATCCACTTTTTTGACCCATTTACCAGATCATTTAGATGATACACTCGATTTGGCTGCAAAATCGCAAGAATACGCTGTTAAGATTCTACCAACACATCGCATTCACGCCATATCGTACCGTTACTACGTCAAAGGCTGTTGCACTTTTAGAATTAACATAGAGATTGTCCGACCACGGAATCTCGCCCTTTTGTCGCATTCTAATGGGATCGATGTAGATTAAACGGGGCTTTGAGGTCAGAATCAATTGACGCTTCTTTGAAAAAAGACCCTTTCGCTTGCTGATGAGCCCGCCCATTTTTATCATTTCATCATCTAGCAAAAACCTGTTCCAGAGTGAACTCGTTCGCCGCACGGCAGGCGGTATTGCCGCCTTTTGACGAGCCACTTCTACTACATCAACATGTTCAGCTCTACACAAAAATTGATACCAGAATTAAAAGCCAGATTCAATCAAGAGGTCGTGCACTAGACGTACTGAGTCGGCAAAGGATCCAGCACGAGTCCAGACGAAACCTGTAGTTCGGTAGCAACACCTGCAAATAACCAGTCTTCAGTTGCGCCATCCTGGCAAAAACATACTAAATTAGCCACCTCAACTGATAAATTCACTGTTAAGATCTTACATATTCTGTGGGAGGTAGTCGATTTAATTCCGGCATGTAAGGTGGCTGTATTATCCCGACAACGTCCCAGTCAACACCCTCAAAAAAGGGATGGGCCTTCAGCGCTGCGTATCCATTACCTTCTTCATCTGAGCCTGCACCGAGTCGCTGATTTTGCTCTTGCAGAAGAATACGATCAAGCAGATCCTTCGCGACTGCTGGAAATCCCGGAGGGTATGCGAAATCCTCGGCAGGGTGGTTCAAAATCTGCTGGAACGTGAGATATTCGTTCTCTGCACGAAACATCGGACGCCCAACAAGAAGCTGAAAAACCATACATGCCATCGCCCACAAATCGCAACCGCGAGACGCTTCTTGATCACGCAGTACTTCGGGTGATACATATTCAGCTGTACCGCAAAATGTGTTGTGTCGACTTTCCTCCGTCTCATCCTTGGCCGTTCCAAAGTCGGTCACCTTGATATGACCACTATCGCTAATCAGAATGTTCTCAGGTTTAAGATCCCGGTGAATAACGCCATTCTTGTGCAGATATTCAAGTGCAACAACCACTTCAGCAATGTAGTGTCGTGTTAGCTCCAGCGAACAAGCGCGATCAGTAAAACCTTCCGCAATCTGCATCTTCTGGTGCTTGCTAAAATCAAAACAATAATCAACAATTTCATAAGTAAATGAGATTAGCTACATCGCAATATTCCGTATTAACAATAAAAGTGTTAGAACCATAAACAACGTACGTGATCACATCAAGTAGCTCTCCACCACGGCAAAGTTCCATTACCATGTATAGATAACTATTATCCTACATCGCAGTTTTAAAAATCGCATACGAAATATAAGTGCAAATACTGATACAACAAGAAATGGTATCTGATTTACCTGAAAAGTAAAAAAGAGTTTGACGACACGGTCGTGCGAAATCTTGGAAAAGACTTTGCGCTCCATCATAACAAACTTGACCTTTTTTTCTTTACGAATAAAACGCTTCTCCATGATCTTCACTGCATACTCGACGCCAGTGTCTTTCATACGCGCGTGTACAACCTTGTGGTAGCCAAAATCCACATATTGCTCTAAATATTAGTATATTCTCCACATCCTTTTCAATTTTAAAGCTAACAGCAATACGCACTCGAGCATAAGCACCTTCGCCAAGCGTGGCACCAAACATAAAGTCAGCTGGCGAAGGTTTCTTGCTGTGTGAGCGAGCGAGCGCGGCACCATCTACAGACTCTAGATAGAAAAATGGGGTAATTAGAATGTTGACGACATCGAGAAGATGACAGGAAGGCGCACCTGGCAGCCTTGGGGCTTGCATCGTCGAGGTCGACAAAGCGACGAGTGACAAGGAGATTGCTCCCCCTTGTGGCTTGTTGATGTATCGTACATATCTTTTGATGGGATACAATAGTTCAGTAAAGTGCCAGAGATATAGACAGACCACAATTTAACGCTGAATATCCATTTATTGCGCGCTGCAGGCAACACATGTGTGTAAAGTATGTTATCCATGACTCTTATACAGTACATTCATCGCTACATCGTAGCTCGAAATATTACCGCATCATAAATACTTCATGTGAATAATAACTTACGTAAGTTAGGGCCAAATTTTGAGTGGCAACATACCTAATAAAAAAAAATAAGGTGTTAGTAACTCGATGCACATGACTATAACTAATCAGGGTACTGCGTTCGACTACTTCACCACAGTACATCTGAGCTTTGTTCTGAGTCCGAGCGACAACAGCGTAATGTATACGTACCCTAACATCGTGCTAACTCGTGGCCCCCTCTCTCACCAAAACGAATGCCCACTGCAATCACAATCTGCTTCGTCGTGTACTTAGTCAGATCGTTTGTAGTAGGGGTCTACAGGGGCTCACTGCGCCGGAAATATTCTCTACACCCTTGCCTCTTGGGGTATCCAGATATTATAGTCGACCTTGTTCTGTGAACATACCTAAACAAGACGGTCGCACCAACTACCTGAATTTTGGAAAAATCAGATGCACTTCGCTGGGTAAGATACGATCAGGCTACCCGTCCATGGAATTTTCTACGAGATTTAGGCGATATTTACGCTCCGTTTCATTTATGTGCGTGTTGTGCACACCACGTTCACTCTCTAAGACGCCGAAAAGCTTACGAGCTTCAATCCAGTAGAAATGGGTTAAATATAGATCAGCAAGCTGAGTTTGCCCGTGTGCGTAGAGTCGCGGTAGTCTCAAAAAGGCCGTTTTGGACCATATTAGATGGATTTGATTAATCGATCTATTAGAAGCTATTTGATGCATCGCCTGGATATGGGCCTGCTGTCGAGTCGGTCAGCAAAATGTGTGTCCACACATATCCGTACATGGGCACTTCCTATACCACTTAAACTGCGTTATGGTGGCAGTGACGACGGGTGACTTCCTACGAGTGTTGACTGCATAAAACTGCTAAATTTTCTTGCCATTTTTCCAGAAATCAAATTTCCCTTGAACAAGTAGCCTCCATTAATCCTTCGGATAGCAACACTGACCAGTGCGCTACGACCTTAATCGCAGCGGGATCTGCCTGAAGGCCATTCTCTTCATTTAAGTGTCCCTGACATGGATTTTGTCAGCACATGTCAATGTTGGCGGACAGCTGATAAACGCACATAATCGAGCACACTCGCAAGGTTCCATATCGATGTCGACATATGCAACCCTCTTCCCGTACGCTGAATAACTATAGAATGTTGACCACTTGTAGAATCGTACGAGCTGATGACAGCTTAAATGACCAGACCAAAAGCTTTGTATAACTTCACTTAACGATGCTGTCCGCAACATATCCTTTTAAGAAATAGGCGCTTGCGCCGGAAACGAAACGGTGGTTAGCATATTTTTACCCTGTGCAAATTTACAACTCGTCGTTAGTCTTTCCGAAGCAGATTGTCGCCGCCAAGTACCGGAATAGCTTTTTCTCACCAAATCAATTTCGGTCTTTACACGAAGAGAGCGCCAATGAAGCCATGCTGTTTCTTTCGTCTAGAATCATTTACGCGTGACGCAATAGTTGGTTTCAGTAACCATGTCAGCACATTGACGTATTCTCTGGACAGGGAAGCATGCGTTATGGGATTGATGTCACCAAGTCATAATTTTTTTTGCATGAACGATCAAAAAGGTGCTAACCGATTTATTCCCTTCATTCATTGCGCGCTAAATAGATCAAAGACTTAATTTGACAAACGACGCGCTCAGCTCTCCCGTTACCAAGTTTGCAATCTCACTGTCTTGCACCTCCTTATCGACCCCCGGAAAATTACCTTCAGGAACTACAAGAGATTTTATGCAGCTGGGCTACCGTAGCTCTTTGCTTAGAGGAAACTTAATTAGGTCACCAACTTTACTATAACCAGTATGAGTGTATGAGTGTAGCGGATCGCAATCCGCTACCTCAAGAGCTCTCAAAATCCTAACTTAAGGCAAATGCACTCTTCCGTTCAAAATTAAATTTGTTTTTATCTGTTTTATTAGCGCTAAAGCCGCCTATATCTAAATCTTTAGTTTTTCCTAATAATTAAAGTATAACCTAATTAATAAGCATGACTACTGGCAGTCCCGCCACATAGTGGCTTCCTGATACGGTTTAGCCATACCATTGTGTGATCACACTGTCCTGTGTAATCCACACCTCTGTACGGTCCTCTGTACGGTCGCGCCATCTTGTGTGACCAAGTCTTTAAAACTAGGGTACGTGTAACCCCGTTACACTCTTCCCATCAAAATTCTAAATACCCACGATTCACATTATTAACTGTCGCCTCGTACAAGGCTCGCGTGTCTGAGAAACCGTTACGTCCCCAGGATCTTCTTAGCGCAATTTCTGCTCAATGACCTTTTGTCTATGACCTTACGAACACCCAGCCTCGCTGGTTCCAAGTGCGCATGCGGGGAGAGCCCTTTTTTGTCTCCTCCACGCGGTGCAACTCCGAACAGTATCTCTGCTGCTTCACAGGAAGCACATCCCAAGGCCTCGGCAACCGGGCGCCGCACACCACCTCCGCTACGGGCGATGATTTTTCTCGTCGAGGATTCGGAGGAAGTCGGCCACGGATGGGAAGAGAAGGAGGTCGAGATCCTTTAACGGCGAGACGTGAGCCCTGCATGAGCCTTGCGGACACCGTGTCCGTATCCCGACCTCTCGACTCCCGGAGGAAGTGGTATCATTTCCAATCGCCTCGACGAGGCACAAGAGCAACAGTTAGAGGCTGTCCACATGGCGGCTCTCATTCGCTCGTAATCACGATCGGTCATAGACCCTCTTGTGGAGAACGGCTTCTGCTGGCGGATCCCGCTACTGGAGCAAAAAGCGCGATCACGTAGTCGGGCCCCCGGCCACACCACAATCCGAGCTTGATTAACGTTCTTTGAGCTAGCTTTTTAATACCACAAGCAATCTTAATGGATAAGTACCGTGCTCGATCTTGCGCTCAAAAGGAGGCGCTTCCGTACCCGCAATGCGGACAATTCCTATGTACCTCGCCCCTGGCTAAACCGCTGCAAATGATTTAAGGCTTTTTAAGCGATGGATGCAGCGGCACCGGAAACTTTCTATGCTGTCTAACCTACTGCGAAGCCAAAAGGAAGTGGGCGTGCGCGTAGAACGCTATCTTCGGTTCGAGTTTGCCAAACTCAAGGCGCAGGGCTGACTTCCTATGAATTGTGGCCCTGTGGCGTATGGATTACCACATCACGCTCTTGCGAGCTCTCTGGCTTCTCACACGGGTGAGTCTACGACCACAGTAGCTCAGGGTCATAGCTTGAGCTCAGTTCATGGCCCTTCGGCTTTACGGTCTACTGCCGAGAAGCATGGGGCGTACGACGACGCGAAGCGTCACAATCCTTCTGATAATTAACGTCCACAACATCAGGGCAATCATGCCAAAGTGGCACCTCAAACTTCCACGAGTTCTCGGAGTTTGGGTATCCACGCCACTTTGCAAGATATTGGGTTTGACCCTGTTGACGACGTCGACCCACAAAGCGTTCCACGTGATAGTGGACGCCACTGTTCTCGATAAGAAGAGCCGGCAGCGGATAATGACGACTTGGTCGATCGCCGTCTGGTGACTTGCAATGCTCTTCGAGCTTTCGAAGACAGAGTCCGTCGTCATCGGCACTCCGCTGAGCATCTTGCCAAGGTCGCATACCGCTGTGCAGAAGACCTCGAGAGCTAGGAGCACTTTGTGCACCGACTGCGGCATTTCGTGCGTCGGTGTTTAAAATAGGAAATCGCTGCACTCAGTGCTCAAAAATAGTTACTTGTCCAGCTTCTAGGTTGTCGTGCGCCTATGAGCGCAGGATTCCGGTACGGCTTAAGCAAGTCCGCATAAAACACCGGATGGGTGTGCATTCTTCTCGGAAGGTTTAGCGTATACACAAGGCCTCGCTTTGCCGCGACCTTAAAAGGTCTGATAAACCTTGGATAGAGCTTCAACTAATAGACAGCATATACTGCATGTGTAAAAAATTTTTTAGTATTTAATACAACCAGGGCTCCGACCACAAAGTTTAACATTTCTTCTGCTTCGTCCTTCTGCATATTCTCTGTGCATGTCTTGGCTTTCAGCCATCGCATCGCAAACGTACTCAGTCTGGTAAACAAGAAATATCTACTTTCTTACGCACAGTGAGAGGGCTGAAACCAGCTAGCCGTTCGGCTATTCCTCCATCATTAAGCCCTGAGCCATAGAATGGCGGCGACAGCAGGACATTAGGATGAATGAGCCCGTTCATGTAGAAAGGCGTGTAGCCGGAGACGCATGTACTGCATTGTTCAGAGCGAGCTCCACAAATGGCAGCATGGCGCTCCAGCGCCTGGGCATCTTAGTGCAGACGCTGCGAAGAACGTCTACAACGGCGCAATTCACGAGCTCAGATTGACCATCGATCTGCGATTGGTTCGCCGTTGGCATAGTCAACTTGGTTTCCAGCACCCTGTAGATTGTAGACCAAAACTTCCCAATGATCGCGGTTATCTGTCAGAGACAATTGACTCCGAGAGTCCATGTTGTCGAAGGCACGATCCACAAACAGCGTCGCTTTACCTGCACCGTTGATTGTGTCCGGCACTTCCGCAAGATGAGCCATCTTGCTCAAACAGACCACAAAGATCATGCAGGCCAAACACAAAGTCCATACGCATAAACTGCCAGCCTCCGGAAAATACCGATAAATGGCCAGCGGCGCCGCGGTATTCGGAGAGGGCTCGCCCTTTGACACGTCTAGCACGTGCGTACATATGTGTTCCTCCATTTGTACAGCTTGAACTACGTGTAGTGGCAACTCACAGAGCTGTACGTCTTCTCACGATCGAGATGACCGCTGAGTGCGGTGTTGTGGGCCTCATAAAGAATACAGTACTTCAAATCCTCATCGTGAGGAACCACAATTCGTGGCGTATCCGTCAAATCGGTGCTATAATACAGCAACCCGTTATTCAACGAATATCAGTGCAACCGTACGCGCATTCGCGACGACGACTTCTTGTCCGAGTTTACAAACTCCTTGCTCACGAAAGCTCGTAGCAACGCTACGCATATACCATCACCCGTGTATGCGGGCTGACCGAATCCGTCACTGACGACGTCACCGTCGTAATTTGAGCAAGCTCATAATCCGGTCTGCGTGACAACGCATGACAAATGCATCAGCCAAAGCATTCTGCTTTCATGGCTTATACATCACTTCAAAGTTATATCCCGTGAAGAAGGAGAGCCACCTGGCCATCCTATGCGAGAGGTGAGCCGACTGAGTCGTAGTGCGTTGTGACGCATGATCTATGTAGATTACGAACAGCTTTTAGCCAAGCAGGTGCACCCTGATCTTGACAAGTGCGGTTCTTTGGAACCGGCCAGTCCACAATAGCTTTGACCCTAGCGGGATCCGTTCGAATGCCACGCTTCCAAATGCAGCACCGTAGAAAGGGGATTTTTTCAGGGCCGAAAATGCACTTTTCTGCATTAGCATACGACTTATTCGTGCGAATGCACTCGACTACCACTCTCAGATGGGCGATGTGGTATTCCTAATCTGTCCTCCCGTGCTCCGCTAGACTGTAGACGAAGATGTTGTCGAACAATGTCTGTGCACAAGCCCGGTGGGGCCTTAGCAACTGCGTCACAAGACGATCAGATGTTGTTGGTGCATTTGACAGCCCTTGGAGCATCACCAGCCACTCCCAGAGCATGCCACTCGAAGTACTCACCGATACTTCATCGCAAGTAGTTCCTTGTCGTGGACTGAGTAGTTCCTCTCCGCAGCCTTAAGTTGGCGGATTCGAACGCGATCAAATGATCTCGCCCCTCGGCGTCTGCATGCAGC